CAACTCCCAAGATTTACAAGCAGAGCAGCAAAACGAAAACACACCCAAAAACGACCGAAGCCTGCACAGAACTTGGTGTTGAATTTTTGCTGGCTGATGTCAAATGTAAAACATCCGCAATCAGAAACCCAGAACTTGCAGTGTCATCTGACTTGTACTGAACAATGTAAGGGCAAGGCTCCTCTGGACCTTTACAATTGGTGGTCGACTTGCATAACTGGTGACTGCAACTTAGTTGTTTGCCGGTCCTTGATAAAGACGGGCTATACTCATTTAGGTCCCTATCCTGCACCATAGATGCTCCGAAAATGGGGGAGCACCTGCCAATCAATCATTGGAATTAACTGCTAAACCCGTTACCATTCCTAGATGTAATGTCTACAATTTCATTCCACAATATTTTAGCTATTACATTGTTTCCTATAATCCCATTTCTATCTTTTCTATCTTTCTGTGATATGGGATTTCCATAACAATTTAATTATACAGGTTCAAATCAAAATCTATGAATTTGGGGTAGCTAAGCAGTCAAAACGCTACTACAGGTCTAGATTTTAGCTATTCCATTGTTTCTTACCAGACTTAAACAGAGAAGAAGAAACCAGCTATTTCATAGACCAAATAATAATCAAGAAGAACGATACAGTTAATTGGTGGAATTTAATAAAGAAATCAAAATTGAAAATGCCAAGTAGGAAATTAGAATGTAATTAGTGGACAAAAAATAGATACAGTTATAATGGGACCCAAAAAATTAGAGAAGGTAAAGGTACCAAAGTATCATAATAAGAGGCAGACAAAGGAGCACATTGTATGCAATCACATGGGACCCAAAGCAAATCGCTCCCAGCATCCAATGCAACCATAAACGAAACATTCGGTGTACCTATGTCAATCCACGTATAATGTAACCTGAAAAATAAAAAATAAAAAACGAAATTACCATAATCAGCGGCCGCCATAAAAATTAATTAATTTTCAGGAAAAATACAATTTTATTTTGTTTCCTCCACTTTTTTCTTTTCCTTCGTTTTCTGAGGAACCAAACAGGGCTGAAGTCCACTCACCAATCAAGCTCATTCCCGAAGAACAAGGTCTGGCTTCCTTCGGATGGAAATAGATGCTCGTACTTGGAGCCGAGCTTCAGCCTCTGACGCTTCAGATCGCTTCGCAGAAGAAGCTGGAAGTAATTCAAGCTGTTCCTCTTCGGCCATGGCTTCAAGGACGCGTTATCGCCACTTCTCGACTCCCATACCGCCATGGCCTCCTCAGAGAAGCGGTGCACGAGCTTCGACGATAATGTGAGCGAACGAGAACCGTTTACGAAGAGGCAAGCCCACAGAAGGAATAGAATGGCGCGAACAGCCATGAGAAGCCGCAGGGGAAACCCTAGGGTTTGAAATGTAGAAAGTAATTGGAGGAAGAAGAAGGAGATGGAAGAAAGTTTGAGGCTTTCGGAGTTGAGAGAGTAGTGAACTGCTCCGAGACGAAAGCAGAGAGGTTTGCTAAAGTGCACGATGGTGCACAGTACGCACTAGCTTCAGTAAAATTCCCGTGAATTGTTACTGAAAATAAAAGGTTAAAAATTAAAAATTTATTATTATAAATAAAAAAAATTAAAAAAAACACGTTTGCCGCTAGTGGGCTTTATCGTCCAGGCCCATTTAACTTCTGGCCCACGAAAAAGAAAACCTAAGTCAATCACGTGAGTGGCACGTGCGAGACCATCTCTCAGCGGCATAAAATAGTAAAACCCTAGCAGCAAACGGGTCTTCATCTCCTTCAGTTTTGGTTTTTCAGCCGCAGAGCGAGAAATCATTTCGAGGGCTAAAAGCGAAGAATCTCAGAAGCTTCAAAAATGGTGGTGCCGAAGAAGACGAAGAAGACCCATGAGAGCATCAACACCAGGCTCGCTCTGGTGATGAAGAGTGGCAAGTACACTCTGGGGTACAAGACAGTCATCGACTCTCTTCGTAACTCCAAAGGTACGATTTAATATCTTTTGGGATTTTCAAATCTTTCTTTTGTATCCATTTTACTATGATTTGGTTTCTTTTTATTGGGTTAGTTTCTGATTTTTGAATATGGATTTGTTTTGTTTTGGGGGAAAAAATTTGCAGGGAAGTTGATTATAATTTCTAACAACTGCCCTCCTCTGCGAAAGTCTGAAATCGAATACTACGCTATGCTTGCCAAGGTTGGAGTTCACCACTACAATGGAAGTAAGTGCTCTATTGCCATATTATTTGGGTTCAGATCAGATTGTTATGTATTTAGTATGAAAGTTTGAAATGCTTTTTAGATTTTACCTGTTTGTGCAATGGGATGAGTTAGTTTTTGTATGTAGTAACATGATTGAAAAAAAAAATTTTAATTTTTATTGTAATCTTGGATGGGAAGTGTTCAGCTGAAGTTTAATGGAAGCTTTGATTAAAATGGCTGTTGTTTAGGAAGTGCTAGTTAATGGGATATTTATTGGCTCTTAGATGTGTGAACTTGTCTCAGCGTGTAGGTTAAACCATCGTGCAAGATTGCCTTGGTCTTAGTTCTTAATCATTTGCTAACATACTTTGTATTGTTGATCCTGCTCTTTGCGTGATCTTGCCGGTTGTATTTTTCATATTGAATGATGCATCCATATTAGGATTCTCAATGTTCGGCACATGCATGAAATTTGTCATTGTTCTTCCCTATTTTAAGCGGAAGAGGAATGCCATTTTCACATCTTTTATTTAGGACTTATGTGCGGGGAAGGACGCTGGGTACTACCGTACTTATATTCATGTACCGCTGATAAAATTTGTCAGCAAAGGAAATATTTATCTTTACTATACTTGTACCTTTTCATTTGGTTGACCATTTTTTCTGTTTTCAGACAATGTTGATCTGGGTACAGCATGTGGAAAGTATTTCCGAGTTTCATGCCTTAGCATCATTGATGCAGGTACTCCCATAGTTCTGTTATCATTCCAAGCGATTTGTTTACGTCCTAATTGATATGAGAAACTGACTTGTCACTTGTTTTGATAATGTGCAGGTGATTCGGATATTATCAAGACGCTGCCTGGTGGTCAGTGAGCGACTGTAGTTTATCCCCTCTAAATCGAAAGTAGTATTGTTTTTCTAAGATTTTCCTCTCTTTTCACCACCAATGAAGTACTCTTTTATATTCTATATGACGATGCTGTCTTTGTTATCTTTGTAGTGACATGATGCATGGTGTTTTGAGAATCATTTAAAGTTAATTTTTGTTGTACTAGAGAATTCACATTTTGGGGGTTTCCTTCGGTTTTTTCGTATTATTATTCATCGTCTCCAAACCTTTACTGAAATGGATGCAGATTGCTCAATCATCTCCTCCATTAAATTGTCATCACACATTCAGTATGAAACTCAAAACCCATGTAATGGATTTCAATTTACGGTAGGATTTTGTGTGTGAGATTCTATATGGTTATAATGACTTGTTGCAACAATGGCTGGCCTACACTTCTCAGGCTAACTTATGACGGTAGGATTTTGTGTGTGAGATTCTATATGGTTATAATGACTTGTTGCAACAATGGCTGCCCTACACTTCTCAGGCTAACTTATGCCCTCAAAAGGCACAGTGCTCATGAGCCTATTTGGGCTTAACTCTCCCTGACTTGTTGCAACAATGGCTGCCCTACACTTCACAGGCTAAGTTATGCCCTCAAAAGGCACAATGCTCATGATCTCATTTGTGCTTTACTCTAAGCCTGTAACTTATCTAACAAGGTTGGTTTAGGCCTCTTGATCCGACGGTGCAATTTTGGATTTTGCATGAGTCTTGGTCTACTTTGTGGGTTGGCCGTTTGGGCCTTTGTTGTTTTGCATGAGTTGACTCGTTTTATGGCAATGAATCCTAACCCGTCATCTTTGTAATGACCGAAACCAAACTTTGATCACTACCGAAACCATAATTCCACATTAAATTCCATTCTCATCCAAGATAACACATTATAGACCAGAGAAGACATTAGAAAATTATAAATGACAATTAAAACCATTGGATAAATTCATGCATATTATAAAATATTTTAATTATTTTCAGAAAAAATGAATTCTGGCTTTCGTTTATTTTTTTGGTTATGGATTTAATTTTGTATCGTTATCTAGGAGAATAACAACCATGCATGCCAATCCCCTCGATATTGTTTCAATTTTATCGAACTTCTCAAAAAGACGTCAGCCATAAACAGCTTGCAAAATTCGTAGCGTGCCAAGCAACATATATAAAAACTTTAATCTAAACACCATAAATGCCAATCGGTAGTATTTAAGTAGAAATTTAATCCTTTACTATTAAAAAATATGTAATTTAATCCTTGACATTGAAAAAAAAGGGTCTAAATTAGCAGAATATTGAGGTCATCGTAATAATCTTTTATGTGTCATGTCATGTGTGCCCAAATGTGGCATTTGCCAGTTGAGTTTTAGGAACCATTTTAATTTCTGGAAACTTGTATGTGAAGGTAGATTTGGACTTAGACAAGTTTGATTAGAGTAGATGTGCTTCTCACCTTACACTTGAGTTTGAATTTCCCTTCTTGTAGTTAAGATTAGATTGAAGTAGATTATCGCTTGAAAAAAAAAATTTGTGAAGATAATAACTTCTAAAGTTGACCAAAATAAAAGAATTATATTATTAAAAAAAAACCATCTAAATTTGAGTGGGAAAAATAATAAAATGCCGAGTCGTATTCGGTTATCACGGTAATCCCTAAAACGCTGCCTATTTTTAGAACACATCACACATCCTTGTCATTAGACAGAGAAGATAGACCAGGCTAACAAACAAATTCAAACAAACTAGCAAACAAACTAGCAATCAAACACTAATAGTACGTGTAAAATAAATAATAATAATAAAATCAAATAAAACCCCAAAACGACAACACTTTAGCTCCCAAAATTTATGAAGTCTTTGTATTAAAACAAAAAAAACAATACAATCTCTTTTGGTGACGGTGCCTCTATCTCTCTCCCTTGATCGTTATGAGTAGTGTGCTTCGTACCCTCTTCTTCTCCACCTTGTATATCATCCCTTTTGTGACAACAAACCCACTGATCATCATCTCCACCTTTGTTCCTTTTCCTCCTGTAAGTTTCAAGTGTTTGTTTCGTTAAATGGAATTAACGATTCGTGTTCGTTCTTATTTTCGATAAATTATATGATATCGAACTCTCAACCTATCCTAATTGCGAAAAGTTTTGTTCTTTTGGTTTTCATGTTTTATGCTTTATTCTTTAGTGGGTTGCGCTTTGTTTGTCAAATCATTGAATAGTTGCTCACTAATTCATTTCTTTGTTATCGTAATCTTTTGAATATTAATTTCCTTTCTGGGTTATTCTTACTTCTCTGACATTGCCTGAATTCAGTGTTTTTTTTTGTTGTGGATTTAGTTTCTCCTTTTTCTCTTTTAATAAAGATCACAACTCAATGCTTAAAGGTCACATTATTTTAATATTATTACCATCTCTTTCAGCTTAGCACTACCAAAAGAAAAAAAAATTACAATTGTCAAAGATTCATGGCTCCCATGAGTCTTCATCTCCGTCTTAAATTCGGGGTCTGACATTAACATGATATTTAATTGATTTATATGTTTAATGATTTTGTTTAGTTATATGCAAATTATTATTATTGAAGCAAAGGATGAAATTAAGAAACAGAAAAATAGGGTTGAAATTCTGGTTTCCATGTTTGCATGCTGATACGTTTCCTTTTGTACTTTTCCAATTTTTGCTTCTTTTTTTTTTTTCTTGTTTTTATTTACATATTATCATATTCTTATCGTCGGATAGCAAACAGTAATGCATTTGGACCGTTGATCATGATGATATTAAGTAATCCCATCATCTCAACGGTGTACAACATTCAATTTTTTTGGGGTCTCCATACAAGCAACAGTATGGATACATATATACATATATACATGCATGACATGAAAACAACACGTGGTGTCATCTACCAACCCACGTGTAAGCCTAAAGCCAGGGTTTATATTGTGAGATCCTAAATTGTTGATATAAATTTTAATGTGTGGTGTAAATTGACAATCTGATGTCATGTACGGAATGTTTAAATAATGTGAACTATAGTCTATAATAGCGAAATTTAAATGTGTGGTTCAAATTCACAGTTCAAGGTTATTTTGATAGCCAATTAATTTGATGTTATCATTCTAGTTGTTTTTTTTTCCTTATTTGAGCTATTAGCAATATATACCAAATATTCATAGGCCTAACACATTTTGATTTGGTTTCTTGTTTTGAAATTTTCCAGGCAAGTCACAGTGCTGTACAGCAATATTTACGAGGTTTCTGCCTCCTGAATTAACCCAAATATATTGACATCACAAATCTTAGCTGGCTCTGCTTATCTTTCTCTCTACCCAACACACTCAACTCTGTGATTTCCAAACCTTCATTGAAACACACCAAGCCAGAGAGAGGCCACTGTCACACTATGCAGCTATATAACTCTATGCATCTCCCCAATGAGCCTCACCCATGCCAAGCTCAAACCCCTCTAGAATTTGGTCTCAAGGCCTTAAATCTTGAACCCCAAAAAAACACTCCTCACAAAAACTGCTCCATGATGCTGTCTGATCTTCTCTCTCCAACTTCTTCATCTCTCTTGTCTGGAGACTATATTGGAATGGAGAGCTCCGTGGATGTGCAGAAAGACTGTGAGGAGGACCAGGTGGTGGCAAATGATGATAATGAGGAGGAGGAGGGTCAAAGTGGTAATTTCAGGCAGAGGCTGATGGGTAGGAGGGAGCAAAAATGGGCAATGAGGAACAAGGAGTTTCCTCCTCCTATACCTTTGTTGGCTCGCACTGAGAACTTGCCTTCTCATATGCCTTGGGTGTTGAAAAGGCATTATACAAGTGATGGGAGGTTGATTTTGACTGAGGAGAAGGTTAGGCACCATGAGTACTTCAGGGCTCATAGGTCTAATGGCAGGCTCACTTTGCAGCTTGTGCCTTTGGATGATGAAGTTTTGATTGCCCCAGTTGCTTCTGATGAGGGAAATAAAGATGGGAATGGGAATCATAATGAGTATGATGATCAGGACCCACAATGCGATGATCATGGTGATCATGATGATGAAGAATATGATGAGGGAAATAAAGATGGGAATGAGAATGAGTATGATGATCAGGACCCACAATGTGATGATCGTGGTGATCATGATGAGGATATTGATGGTGATGATGATGATGATGATGATGATGATGATCTTGTGATTGAAGATCAATCAATAAGTGGGAATATTGGGGGATCAGCAGCAGGGAAGTGCTTCAATTTCAACAGTGTGGGAACAGGATCACCTTGCATCTTTGGAGTGCCAGTGCCGGCCATCAGGCAGGTTCACAGTTAAAATTTGTTTGATGGAGAATGCTACACAAAATATATGTCAAATTCCAATCCATCACTTGAAAATTTTATTTTGTAGGTCATGTGGCTCATCTGTCCATGCTTCTTCTTGTTCTTCTATGTTAATAGATTTGTTAGTTGTGTCCCTTCAAATTCCATGTGGGTTATTCATGAGGATTAAGATGTCTTTTGTAGGTTTTGCAGCACTGTGCAGGAAACTTTATTTTATTTTTTCATTTTTTCAAATTGGTTTATTAGCAATTCTTGTCTGGAGATTGTGATGAGGATTTTTTTCATTCATGTTTCATTGCTGTTAGATTGGGATTGGGTAAGTTTTCCATTGTCCATAAAACCAGATGGGTGTTGCTAATCAATATTTGATTCTTTTATGGAGCCTCATATATCATGCTAGAATAGCATTACCCTTTTCACTATTATATATTATACATCAATGCTTTCAAACTGAATAGGAATGACCTGATATGGTTGCCCTTGCAAATGTTCATTTTAGCTTGTCTATTATTTGGGAAGGAGAAATCCCAATTGTCCTTCGCACAATCAAATTGGCTAGAATGCATCAGTTTTCTATTTGACTGAAAAATCAGGTCTTTTTGGACAATATATACATTGTTTCACGATTTTTTTTTCTTTTTTGAAAATGTCATTCTAAAGAACTTATTTATAACAGGTTGATGTATCAGTTGTGCCTCACGCGATCTGTATTGTACATAACAGATACATGATTCTGGTGTATGGAAGTTTTTATGAGAGTAAATAATTCTCATTTCAATGTTTAAAAATGCTAAGAATGGTATTCAAGAACTACATATATACATCAATGCTTTCAAACTGAATAGGAATGACCTGATATGGTTGCCCTTGCAAATGTTCATTTTAGCTTGTCTATTACTTGGGAAGGAGAAATCCCAATTGTCCTTCGCACAATCAAATTGGCTAGAATGCATCAGTTTTCTATTTGACTGAAAAATCAGGTCTTTTTGGACAATATATACATTGTTTCACGATTTTTTTTTCTTTTTTGAAAATGTCATTCTAAAGAACTTATTTATAACAGGTTGATGTATCAGTTGTGCCTCACGCGATCTGTATTGTACATAACAGATACATGATTCTGGTGTATGGAAGTTTTTATGAGAGTAAATAATTCTCATTTCAATGTTTAAAAATGCTAAGAATGGTATTCAAGAACTACATAACTTAAATTATATTCTAAAGTTTGGGTTCCTATATATATAGTAATAGGAATCAAAATCTATTCTTTCTCTTTTGTTTCATTTTTCCCTTATTGCATTTCATTCTCATGTAAAAGGTGGCACATTTCAAAACTGTAAACTGCCCACACACCAAATACGAGAATAGATTCTCATTACCCATTTTCCAACCTTCATTTTCAAAAACCCAAACACTAATGTAAAGGATGACAGCTCAAGGGTCAACAAACTAGAGAAGATGACCTTATTTAATTAGGGTTTGGCTCTTTTGAGATTGAGATTACAACTTTACAAGCTTCTCATCAATCAGAGGTTTCTTCTTCTTCTCTGTTCATACAATTCCGGTGGATCAGAGTCTGGAAGAGCAAGCCAGCGTAGGGTAAAATCATGCATTCACTGATCACTCTCTCTGTGCCCAGAAGTTAACGTTACTCGATAAATATCCAGGTGGTGGGGGTGCATATATATTTACTGCACTGCACTGCATAACAAGCTGAGATGGTTCAATTTACGAGAAGGGCCATATTCATATTCATATTTTATGGATACTTGATATGTTGTTGTTGTTGTTGTTATTGGGGAAGCCAAATGATTGAATTGAATGCAATATCACAAATTCACAGTCACAAAACGGTCTAGATAGATATTATAGAGTGAAGTGAGTACAGCTACCTCCCAATATATGACAATTCACAACTATAAGTATTGAATAATTGTCAGACATCATCATTGGTCTGTCCTTCATGGCTTGCACTTCCCCACTTACTAAATTATTCAGAACTCACACTAATTTCTGTCACCCCGCTGCTGCGTTTATCAATGCCTCTATTATAACCTATGCCTATGGTTGGCTGTCACCCTCATTTCCACTAGAAAAACTGATGTGAAACGGCGGAGATTGCAAAACAGTGCTATCTCCTTTTGGACGATTTGATGATCCAAATTTAATGAAAAATATTATTTTCCTTCATCATAAAAAACCAATAACCAGTTGTTGAGTTTATATAATCCTGTTTGATCGACGTTGAATTGGATCCTATTTTATTGATGTTGATGTTACTTAACCAACGTTGGATTGGATTGAATATATTTTTTGTCAAAATAATCCAATTGTTTCAAACCCATGAACATTTACTAACTATGCTTCTATATATAACATATAAACCTCTATGATACATTTTAGTTAGTGAGAGCATCTCCACTGCTCAGGTGTAAAATCATGTTTATGTTATATTTACATTTTTTGTGACCGGAAATTGCTTCAGTGTTTAGATGTAAAGAAATGCAAATATAATAGACATGAACTTAGCCAAACTGGTTAGAACAAATGTGCTCTCTATTCTGCATCTAAATTTGAATTTTCCTTCCTGTAATTTAGATCAAATTAAAATATAATATCATTTGTATATATATAAAATAAAATAAAAAGGAATGCGAATATAATATACAGTAGCTGCCGGAGAAGGATAAAAAGATGGAAAATTAGAGAAACTAGAGCGAACTCACTCGCGCACCACGCGCGACAGCCGCCGGATAGTTGTGATAGGCGGGCTCCTCGTTGGCTGAGAGGAATCGTGACGTCAGCCCACTAATTCTACAGCTGCAACGGTTTCTTTTTAGCCAAAAAACTCCTTCATCAACGGTGCTCATCTCTCTCTATAAAAAAAAAAACTTAATTTGAAGGCCCAGATTTCATTCAATCTGGTTTCCACTTGTAACGGCTACATTAACCAAATGCCCAGATTTCTTTCCGCTTTTCCTTTTCAAATCGGACGGCCAGATCAGCTCCCACAAGCCAAAGCCTGCATTAACCCAAAAGGCCCAAAACAAATTATATTTAAAACACACACACACAAATCATCGAATGGTCCAAAAAATTCGAAAACACATCTAAATATTCATAAATTCACCATTTTCCTTTATAATCTAACGGTTCAAATTGGATAAAATCATGCATTCTTGAAATTTTTAAAAATTTGGGTCAATTTGTTTGGAAAGCCAAATAAACATAACACAAAAACAAACTCATACAAGAAAATTAAATTTATATCTTCGGATTACATCCACTTTATTTGAAGCAAAAACCACATTTACATCCCCATCCCCAGAGGTGCTAAATGGGAAATGTTTTTTTTTTTTTTTACAATGTGCTATTTATAATGTTAAGAAATCATGTCCTTGATTTATGTGAAACAAATAAGCGCATAATGATATAAACGTGACCATGAAGAACACAAAAATAAATCAATCACACATAACGACATAAGAATTTGACAAAGTTCACTCAATACAAATTATATCTCGGAATTGTTAAAGATATTCATATTATTGAACAAGAATGAGAACAATTGCAAGCACCCAACAAATTTGATGATACTAAGTGATCCAATCGCTAAGTGAATATCATTTGTGGATATAAATGCTAAGTAATAGTTATATCACTAAATATGTTAGTAGTGCATGTCTTCTATTTCCCAAGAAAAATCAATCTCTTCAAAGATTTATTTATTTATTTTTAATTTTGTACAAAAGAGGGCTCAAAGTCCAAACTGGGCTTTTTATTTTAAATGTGACCGTGTTCCCTACCCAATTAAATTGGGTTATAAATATATTATCTCACATTGAAAACAAACTGATCCATCTTCAAATGTACCAAGGCTACAAGAAAAATCAATCTATTCGAGAAATACACTAAGCGATAGAAAATCTTTTAGAGGGAAATTGATCAAGATTTAGATTCAAACAATCAAGATTCAAAAGTCAAAACCCATTTTCAAGATGGCAAAGAATGATAGGAATCCCTAACCTCTAGTGTCATCGTCTCCTTCGCCAACGCCTCCTGTATCATCATTCCCTAACAATATAGAAGGATTTGAAGCTTGGTTGAAGGCATGAGCTGATTTAATTGTTGCAAGGGTGCCCTTTCCCCCTCACCCCCCTCCACAGCCAAAACCTCCCTTTACATAGCTCAATCCGCGACATTTGACTCTAGCACAACGTCCCTAACCTCTAGTGCCATTATCCCTTCTCTTGAAGCCTCCCGTATTATCTTTCCCTAACAATATAGAAAGATTTGAAGCTTGGCAGAAGGCATGAGCCGATTGTATTGCTACAAGGGTGCCCCTCCCCCTGCTCCCACCTCCTCTGCCTAAGCCTCCCTTTACATGGCTCAATCCACGACATTTAACTCTAGCACATCGTCTCCAACCTCCAGTGTCGTTGTCTCCTCCGCTAAAGCCTCCCGTATTATCTTTCTCTAACAATATAGAACAATTTGAAGCTTGGCTGAAGACGAGTAAATCATATTGCTGTAAGGGTTCCCCTTCCCCCGCTACCACCTCCTCAACCTAAGCCTCCCTTTACATGACTCAATCCACGATATTTTGACTATGATATAGCGTTCTCAACCTCCAATGCCGTTGTCTCCTTTGTCGAAACCTCCCGTATCTTATTTCCGTAACAATATAAAAGGATTTAAAGCTTGGCTGATGGCAGAAGGCGATCCTATTTATGCAAGGGTGCCCATTCCCCTACTCCCACCTCCTCAACCGAAGCCTCCCTTTACATGGCTTAATCCGTGACATTTAACTCTATCAAAGCATCCCCAACCTCCAGTGCTGTCATCTCTTCCTCCGAAGCCTTACGTATCATCTTTCCCTAACAATATAGAACGATTTGAAGCTTGGCTGAAGGCAGGAACCAATCCTATTGCTGCAAGGGTGCCCATTCCCCCATTCCCACCTCCTCAGCCTGTTGAGGCCCAAAAAATCCACGGTTCGGCCCAAATAAATTCTCGGCCCAATGCGATACCTTACCGAGAAGAAACCCGATTTGGGCACGCGAAAATTCATCATATGCACTTACACACATGCCACGCCAAGCAAATAAGCAACATGCCACGCAACAAGCTTAAGTGGGCCCAAGCCACTCAAATGCCCGGGGCTTGCTTGAGTGGGTTGTGGTATGGATGGTAATAAATCGACATGAGGCCCATTGATGGGTCGAGAAATGGAAGTCCCGGGTTGCTTGGGAGCCTTGG